TGTAAGAGGTCTAGCTGAGTTTGAATATAAGCCACTGCGGATTCTTTATGTTCAAAGTGTAACTGATTCCACAAACTAGGCCAATATCATTAGCTTATCATCCTACCATGAGGCTTGTGACCTTGGTCACAATCACTAAATGTCTCCAGGAAAACAAGTGATGATTTCATCCACCATCTATATACTTTCCAAATGGAGCGCTCCATTCCAGGTGTCTGTCCCGAGCTGTGTGTGTGCCTATACATCCAGCTGCCAAGTGGACTAACTCGGGGGCAATTCAAATTCAGTCCGTTCAAAAGTGGATTTGTTTTCTTGCCCACGAGCTTGTTTCTGTTGTTGTGGTTTCTCTCCTTGTACTTGGAATCACTGTTAATGTATCTTTCCCAAGTAGAAACCCAGGAGACGTCTTAAACCTCTCCCTCCTTTACATAGGTCCTCTAGATTTGGCTTCTAAATATCTCTCCTCTCCTTGTCCCTCTCCCAAGCATTCTCATTCAATCCTTCCTAATTACTCATCCAACTTCTTGCAGTAAGTAGATTCACAGTCTCACAAGTGGACTTATGGCCTCTAGTCTTGCTCATTTACAATTCTGTCCACAATGTAGCCAAATGCATCTTTAAATAATGGATATCTGGTCAAGGCACTTTAATACTTAAAAACTTTTAAATGGCTCCTCATTGCTTTCAAGATAAAAATAACAGCTCTTGGGGCACCTGGGTGGCTCAGTGGGTTAAGCCTCTGCCTTCAGCTCAGGTCATGATCTCAGGGTCCTGGGATCCAGCCCCGCATCGGGCTCTCTGCTCAGCGGGGAGCCTGCTTCCTCCTCTCTCTCTGCCTGCCTCTCTGCCTGCTTGTGATCTCTCTCTGTCAGCTAGATAAATAAAATCTTTAAAAAAAAAAAAAATAACAGCTCTTTAACGCAACATACATTTCAACATTTTTTTTTAAAGATTTTATTTATTTATTTATTTATTTATTTATTTATTTATTTGATAGCCAGAGATCACAAGTAGGCAGAGAGGCAAGGCAAGAGAAAGAGGAGGAGGCAGGCTCACCGCTGAGCAGAGAGCCCAATGCGGGGCTCGATCTCAGGACCCTAGGATCATGACCCAAGCTGAAGGCAGAGGCTTTAACCCACTGAGCCACCCAGGTGCCCACATTTCAACATTTCATGACTTGGCCCCATCTCTGTCTCCATCTTCATATATCTCTTTTTATCCTAATCTACCCTCTTCTTCTACAACCTCTGTTATTATAACTAATAATAGTTAACATCCATTGAGTATTTTTCACCTAGAAATGATACTAAATGCTTTTACATCAATATTTTTCAGACTTTTCTGATGAGGTATATTACCTGAGATCTTTGATAAAAATACAGTTCCTGATCCTTATCCTAGACCCACTGAATTATAATCCTTAGGGAATGAGACTAGGAAGTTGTATTAAAACATGCACGTTTGGGCACCTGGGTGGCTCAGTGGGTTAAGCCACTGCCTTCAGCTTGGATCATGATCTCATGTCCTGGGATCGAGCCCGGCATTGGTCTCTCTGCTCAGCAGGGAGACTGCTTCCCCTCCCCTCCATGCTTGCCTCTCTGCCTACTTGTGATTTCTCTCTCTGTCAAATAAATAAATAAATAAAATCTTAAAAAAATACACATTCACAGAACTAGAACAAATTCTTACATTTGTATGGAATCACAAAAGATCCTGAAGAGCCAAAGCAATCTTGAAAAGAGAAGCAAAGCTGGAGGCATCACAGTTCCAGACTTCACGTTATGTTACAAAGTTGTAGTAATCAAAACAGTATGGTACTGGTGTAAAAATAGACACATAGATCAATGGAACAGCATAGAAAGGCCAGATAAGAACCTACAAGTAAAACAAAACAAAACAAAACAAAACAAAAAAAACCTACAAGTATATGGTCAATTAATCTTTGACAAAGCAAGAAAGAATATGCAATGGGAAAAAGTCTCTTCAACAAATGGAGTTGGGAAAACTGGTCAGCAACATGCAAAAAAAAAAAAAAAGAAAGAAAGAAAGAAAAAAGAAAGAAACTGGACCACTTTCTTACACCATACACAGAAATAAATTCATAATGGATTAAAGATCAAAATGTAAGACCTGGAATCATAAAAATCCTAGAAGAGAACATGGGCAGTAATTTTTTTTTACATCAGCCATAGCAACTTCTTTCTAGATATATCTCCTGAGGCAAGAGAAAAAAAAGCAAAAATAAACGATTTGGACTTCATTAAAATAGAACCTTCTACACAGAGAAGGAAACAGTCAACAAAACTAAAAGCCAACCTATGGAATGGGAGAAGATATTTACAAATGACATACCTGATAAAGAACTAGTACCCAGAATCTATGAAGAACTTCTAAAACTCAACACCCAAAAGCCAAATAATCCAATTAAAAGATGGGCAGAATACATGAATAGACGTTTTTTCAAAGAAGATATCCAGATGGCCAACAGACATATGAAAAGATGCTCAACATCACTCATTATCAGGGAAATGCAAATCAACACTACAATGAGAGATCTCTTCACACTTGTCAGAATGGTTAAAATTAATAACACGAGATAACAGGTGTTGACAAGGATGTGGAGAAAAAGGAGCTCTCATACACTATTGATGGGAACATAAAGTTGTACAGCCACTGTGAAAAACAGTATGGAGTTTCCTTAAAACGTTGAAAATAGAATTACCTATGATCCAGCAATCACTCTAGTGGGTATTTACCCAAAGAATACAAAGACACTAATTTAAAGGGATACATGCTCCCCTATGTTTATAGCAGCATTATTTATAATAGCCTAGGTATGGAATCAGTCCAAGTATATAAAGAAGATGCGATATGTGTATGTGTGTGTGTGTGTGTGTGTGTGTGTGTGTGTGTGCGTGTGTATGGAATTTTATTCAGCCATAAAAAGTAAAATCTGGCCATTTACAATGACCTAGAAGGAGCTAGAGCATATAATGCTAAGTGAAATAAGTCAGTCAGAGAAAGACAAATACCATATGATTACACTCATATGTGGAACTTAAAAAAACAAATGAGAAAGGTAAAAAGAGAGACAAATCAAGAAACAGACTCTTAATTATAGAGAACAAACTAATGTATGTTAACTGGAATTAAAATAAAAACTTAAAAAGCCAAAAAAAATGTGTGTGCATGCACATAAACTTAACTTAAAAAACTTAAAAACAACACACACACACACACACACACACACACACACAAATCAATGTCTGACTCATTTGAGACGTTTGGGAAAACATTGCTTTACATGAATTTTCATTTAATGCTTATAAAAATTTAATGAGATAAGAACTGTTACTAGTCTCACTTATAGATAGAAAAACTGAGGCCTCAGGGGAGATGATTATATGTCCAAGAGCACAGTTAACTGTCATCATTAGAGTTTGAACCTAGGCATCCAGTCCCAGAGTTTACACCACTGCTATTCCATGATTTTTCACTTTAAGTCAACACATGCACTCTGTTCACTCTCAGTTCTCTGTGCCTCATCTGCCCTTCAACTTGGACAGTCACGTTCCCTTCTTTGCCTGAAAAACTACAACTGACACCCATTCAACTTAGACTGAAGCTTCAATCAATCTTCCCAGTCTGGCTTCGTTGCGTTCCTGTGAACCAGATCATCATCTATATCCTTGTCTGTTCCCCTACCAGACTATAAGCAGGCACATCTCAAGTCCTTCTATGTCCTTAGTCTAGCAGAGTGCATGACATATACCAGCTATATGATACATATCTGCTGAATGAATGAAATTATAATAAGTCACTTTAGCCTGGCAAGTGCTTAGGGTTTAGATGCTGTAAATGGATGAAGCTAGGTCACTCTGGAAAATTATTTTTAGGTATTGGATGCTGCCTGTTAGAATCAAGCCATGCCTCTATTGAAATCACCTGTTCCATAGGAGTGCCTTACGAGAGATGGGATTGAGAACCCAACGATTCCTTTCGAAGTTCAAAGACATTAATCATACATGATATATTACCATAACCTTGATCAAGACCAGATGATAGAAAAGGACAATGAAGGCCCAGAAAAAGGCAGTGTTGTCAGGGAAAGTGGAGTCTGAACTGGTGATGTGGACTCAATACCAGAGTTTAGAGAATCAGAGAGGTGTGCTGGCATGGGCTCATAGCACCTGCGATCTAGCCTCCCAGTACCATGGACACCCAGTGGGGTGCAAAGTAGAAGTAACACATGAACAGAAGTAGAGTTTTCAATTGGTCTTATGGCAACAGGTAGAGCTCTTCAGTAGTGACAGTCATTAATACTTTAAAAATAAGAGAACTTGTTAGGTCCCCACAAGTATTGACTAAAAATCTATGTATTACCAGGATTTCAGCAAATGGTAATTTGCTTCCAGCAGGGGTAGCAAGGGGAGTGGGCACAACAGGAGCGGGACTTCCATGGCTGAAAGTGACATCTGTGTTCCACCGTTGGAGACAAGGAGTGGCCATAGAGGAAGGCAAGATCAGCAGGTGAAGCTGTCCCAAGGTTAGTAGTTATTGTGTCTGTGTATGGAGGGTTACATGCACTTTGCTTGTGTGTTTTTAGTTGAAGGAAAAGTTTTTAGTTTCTAGTTGAAGGCAAGCAATGAGAACTGATTCACAGACAGGTATAAGCTATTCTGGCAATCCTTAGGAGTGTTTACTTAGAGCAAGAGAAATTTAGGGAGACTAGGTTTTCTCTTCATTTGACATGTTTGGGTTTGTGTCATAATCTAGCTGTTCAAGTAAATGTTGAATCACATGTTGTTGAGTTCTGAAAATTTGGATAATAAATATCTATAATAAAAGTGAATAAAACAGGTCTTTGAAAATACAAAGCCTTTTTCCAATCATGCCAAGGACAGTCACATGCAGTCATGAAAACTGAGACTCTACAGACAACAGAGCAGAAACACGTTTTATTTGAGACAAGTTTTATTTGAAACACAAGATTTATTTGAAACAAAATCTTTTTTAAAAAAGAGTTTATTTGAAAAAGTTTTATTTGATACAACTATTTGTAGGCATTCTGGAGACTCATATATAGGCAAAAGAAATTAGATCATACATGCAATAGAGCAGAAGAAATGCTTTGTATATAGAAAGAACACTGCTAAAACATCTAAAAAGTTGGCATTATATATGATTACAAAGAAAAGAAAACCCATCCAAGAAAGGTGTTATGTTCAATGTGAAAGAAATTAATATAGAAATGACATGGATCATGGTCTGTGAAGACAACCTTGCCATGTCTTATAGTTGGAATCTTACTGAAATTACAGACAGGAGATTCAGTTTCTATTCTGGATACTCTGCCTTAAGATACGAAGCCTTGACATGACCACATCCCAGTCGGCGTAAGCACCTTCTAGATGGCGGGATATCTCAGTTCCCGCTTCGTAGCTACGTCGGCCATGAAGTAAACGCCAGTTATCAAAAGTAATCACATCACCTAGACAAAAGATTTTTTTCAACGTGAATAATCATGAGTTTAAATGATTTGCGGAGCTAGAAAATGTAAAATGTAAGATAGCGTTGCTACTTTGTTCATATCAAAAAACAGTGTGCACAGACCTGTACTCCTGGGGCTAATAATACATTATATGTTTATAAAAAATTTAAAAAATTATAAAAAAAAGAAACTGTGTTTCTTTGTCTCATTTTTTGGTTTGTTCCAAGTTTTTATCTAAATTCTAGTTTGTTAACATACAGTGTAACATTAGTTGCAGGAGTGGAATCTAGTGATTCATCACTTACATAGTGCTCACCACAACAATTGCCCCCCCTTAATAACCATCACCCATTTAGCCCACACCCCGCCCACCTCCTTCCATCAGCCCCCATTTGTTCTCTATAGTTAAGAGTCTGTTTTATGGTTGCTTCCCCCCGTCTCTTTCTCCCCTCTATATTCATCTGTTTTGTTTCTTAAATTCCACAGATGAGTGAAATCATATGGTATTTGTCTTTCTCTGGCTGAAAACTGTACATTTATTTTTTCACAGAAATCAGACCATTGGACGCAAACTGCTTTAGACCTTTTGACTTTTAAAGTATAGGCATCTGTATACATTTTTATAATTTCTACTTAAAATATTATCTTTGTGTAAAACTTTGAATTGTTCTTCCTGGTTGTTATTTTGCTCTTACTTAGAAATATTTATTTCCAATTAAGCAGCTTCAGATAATTATAAAGATAGTGACTTGGTCTGTCTTCTATGTTCCTAGTATTTTGTGTACATTGTTTCTAAGTCTCATAAAAGTCCTGAAAAGAGTGTTAGCTCATCTTTTCGTGTGAGAAAACAGAGGATCCAGGAAGCTGAGGGATTTGCCTGAAGCTACACTACCATTACATAGTGGAGTTTAGATTCCAACTTCTATTTTTTGTTATTTTTCTTTCCTGGTATTTCAATTTTAAATGTTACTGCTCTTAAAATCAGCCTGTGGTGACTGCATATCAGTGGATTTATAAAGATTTCTAGTATCACTTTATCATGCCAAAGATCAATTCAAAAAATAATCAGAACTTAAGAATATCTTTCACTTGGCCACATCAGTAGTAGAGAGAAATTCTGCTTTTTACTTTAGATAGGGAAAGCCTCAAGTTTGAGGTCACTTCACTGAGTAGAGATGGTCCAGAACAAACACAATGCTTTCTGTTCCTTTATTTCAAGTAGCTGGACGACTACAAATACCGCTTTATTTCAGGTAGCACTGTCTCTTCCAGATCAGATAAGCTAAATGAGTAAACATGACTCATGTACTTCATGAGTGAGAATCATGGGGATAATTTTACTTTTTTACTGGGATAGAAGAATTAAGTAGAATCTGCCGTTCATACTGTCTGGTTATCAGGACAGAAAGTATAAGTCATCAGCCTTGACCTCAGACATGAGATTTCATTTGGCTTGTAGCTTGTCTTTCACATATTTCTTTTTTAGGTTGGAGGTTATTAAATTTCTGTGTGCTTAAAGTTTACCTAGAAGTTTGCTAAGAACGAATATTTTTATGTCTGGAGAGGCAACAGAGCAGGGGCTGGGGCTGCTCACAAAATTCTGTGTTTCACATGCCGTATTTGAGAGAAACTGCTCGAGATCTTGCTCTACACAGATGGTTAAGCTTGAAGAACATCCAGTTGTTTAAGAAAATGTGTTTCCACTGACCTGGATTCATCTTGAAAGTAAACTTGGATTCTTTACAGTTCATGAGGTCAACAAACTCCTTCAGAGCAGCATAGAAAGGCTGAACTCTTTCAACGGGTGCATCAAATACCGTGTCTCTGGTTGCATTATTGAAGTTGATGCGAACCACTTGGCCTTTATCATCTAATCTGTTTTTTAAAGAGAAAAAAAGTTAAAAAGCCATAAGGTAATTATTTACATTTCTGAGGGTCGATTTGTCTTGGAAGATGTGTCTGAAATACAGTATTAAAGAATCCAAAAACATGTACAAAAGGTAGTAGGGCTATCTGTGGTATGATATATTCATTTGTTCTTTATTCATTTAGCAGTTTTTAAAAGGTTTCCAATTCAGTATAGTTAACATACAGTGTTATAGTAAGCTTCACGTGTATAATATAGGGATATGGCAATTCTATCCATCATCCAGTGCTCATCAAGGAAAATGTGCTTTTACTGGGTGTGGTGCATAAACAATGAATTCTGGTACACTGAGAAGAAATTAAAAAATTAAAAAATTAAAATTAAAAAAAAAAAAAGGAAAATGAGGTTTTAATCCCCTTTACTCTTTCCCCCATTTCTCCACCCCCTTCCCCTCTGGCAACCATCAGTTTGTTCTCTGTAGCTAAAAGTTTGTTTCTTCGTTTGTCTCTCTCTCTTTTTTTTTCTTTGTCTTGTTTCTTAAATTCTACATTGTGGAGTAATTCTATTTTTAACTTTTTGAGGAACCTCCGTAGTGTTTCCACAGTGACTGCACCAGTTTGCTTTCTCACCAGCAGTGCACAAGGATGCCTTTTCTGCACATCCTCATCAACACTTGTTGTTTCTCGTGTGTTTGATTTTAGCCATTCTGACAGATGTGAGGTGACAGCTCATTGTGGTGTTGCTCATTATGGTGATAGCTCAATTGTGGTGTTGCTCAATGAGGTGATAGCTCATTGTGGTGGCATTTCCCTGATGATTAATGATGTTGAGTATCTTTTCATGTTTTCCATCCATTTAACAGGTATTTTTTGAAGATTTACTACGTAAGTGCTAGAGTGATTCAAATTAATTTAAAATAATTGTTGCTGAAAGATTCCAGTTAAATTTTTTTTTTTTTTTTGTATTTCAGGAAATGAATTCATTCTTCACTCTTTAAAATAGTAGCTTTTATGTATCGAAGTATTTTTAATGTTACAAGTTCATGGGTCAACCCTTTATTAGGGTTTTAGGTATAATTTTTTTTGAAGCATGATTGAGAAGAAAAATCTATTTTCTAAAGTTTGAAATTCACTGTTCTAATTCAATCCCTAGTTTACAGGTAGGGAAACCAAGACACAGACAAAAGAAGAATCTGCCAGAGATATGTTCTTCGTATCTCTCTATCTATACTCTGTATCTTAGTATATAGGCTTTTAGAAGACCAATACGCTATCTCATTTAATATTGTATTCTCAGAACAACATAGAGCCTGCATGTAATAAGCAGTAAATATTCATTGCATATGTGACTCTCTAAACTTTTTTTAGTTCCTTGGGAGAATACCAAGGTCTTTTTAGTACTTTTGAGATAGTATATTGTGATCTCTCTATCCTTCCTTAGAATATGCATCATGATCATGACAATGTAAGGTAATATTATTTTTGATGTAAAAACATATCATTATGTTTTAATTTAATCTATGCTTATTATCATTAGCACAGCATGAGCACTGTCTACACACAAAGCAAAAAGAAGATATATTTTTAAGCTTATTGGGAAGGTAAACTTTGAGCCAGTCCTAAAACATCTACTAACTCCAAAAGAAAGGATGGATAAAAACTGAAGGTGGGCAAAGATGGTGGCAAAGTGTCTAGAGTTGTTCCTGGGCCAGCCCAGGAGGTGGTACTATGACCCTACAGCTGTAGGGGACCAGACCTGATGGGTCAAACCAAAGAGACAGTCACATGTACCCAAGGGCTTGGTGACACTGATTTGGGGTCTAGATCACACTTAGCTGACTAATGACACAGAGTAAACCGTTATCAACAAGTCAGGGTATAGGAGGAAAATGTGATTGCCTGTGGTATATAAACTGTGGCTCTCTGGGTCTCTGTGCTTTGTCACTCAGATTAATATTCAATCCTCAGAGCCAAAGGCAATTGTAATGGTGAACTCTAAGAACTGGTCATTAGCTCTAACTCTTTGCTTTTTGATAGTGATGGAAAACTACCTATTGAACCCACACTGGGGAAAGAAAGGAAAGAAAGGAACCAGGTTTTCAATAGGGCTCTTGGATTCTTAAAATCAGAATTTATATATATTGATTAAAAAGCAAATATGTCTGAGTAGGCAAGGAGTGCTCTCCCTCCTTCCCCCATCCCCTCCACATAGATAAAGAATGCTCTGTGACCTGCAGGTTGCAGCTTGATGAACAAAGAGTCAAGGAAAAGGTCAGTCAGCAGAAGATATTGTGGGCCTCTGGTTTGAGTGGCACAAGGGCCAGTGTCTGACATTTCATTTGCTCTGTTAGCATTTACACTGCGGGTTTCAGACCCTTTCGGTCTGAGGCGATTTTGTCTTCTAATCTTAAGATTCTAGCCTTACTGCTCTTGGTTCACTTTCCCTCCTCTCTCCCTAAGCTATTTTCTATACATCTAATGATCACACCCTTTGTGCCATCCTCTGTGTCACTGACAAGGTTGTCATGACTTTGAAACTTCTTGGAGATCTACACAAGCCATGCTGGCAATCTGTTTCTTTTTTCATTAACACTCTAATTCCTTGATGGAAATGGTTATGCTAGTAACGAGCTCTCTCTTATAGAGTCCATGTGTATATCCTCACATATGAAAGGAATATGATGAAAGGAATTTTGGGACTCATCAGTTTAAGGAAAATCAGAACTGTGTGCCCCATGGACCATTGTATTACACTTTCATTTCTAAAGAGTTCAGATATATAGATAATAATAATCAATATTTTCTCTTTCTTTTTCTCACAGCGAGAGAGAGAGAGAGATATCAAGAGAGAGACATTCTCTGTCTCCTTTTCTTGGTGTTTACTATTTGAGAAAAAAAAATAAGATACAAATTCATAATTTAGCATTTTCAGAAATGGTATCAGGGGAAGTAGAAAAATTTAGTTTTGAGGTCTAGGGAAGACATTCTCAGGATGAACAGTGTTAGAGGAGAAGATTGGTTGACATCTCAAAGATCAACCCAAAATGCAAAATTGAGTCTCTGTAAGCATTCTGTGTGCAGCCAAAGAATGAAAGGGAGGTCCCAATGCAGGGTTACATGCTAAAATGTCTCCGAAGACAAGGAGTAACTGGTTACATTATAGCAATGCATAAGGGGCAAACGTTTAAACCTAAATGAGCATCCTACTGACTGCAAATCAGCAAAAGCAAAATGTCATCGTGATGCCAACAAAAGAACCCAGTAAAAGGACTGCAGTATCCTTTCCTGAAATCAGAGTTGGTGCCATGAATACTCCTTGTTAGTAACAGTAGTCTGTCTCATTGAGAGATGTGATATTTGATGGAACCACTTGAATTTGTTGTGGAGATATATGTATCACTGTGGTGTTGCCTACCACATCACATTTTACTGGGATCTGCAGGAGAAATTTATTTCACACTTTAGAAGTGTTTTGAATCTTGCAAATTGATTATGTTCCCTCCTTGCTTTGGTCTGTCGAAGCTCAGAGCTGAAACTGAAGTCTATCACTAGTAGTTGTGTTGGAGTTTATAGAATTAGCAATTTATTCTGCTCTTTCAAAGCCAGACACTGTGGTAGGGGAGCCTATCTATTGTCTCTATAGCTCCCACTTTGGTTGTATGTGGTAGGCATTAATATTACTCCCTTTGTACCGGCAAAGAGACAGTAGCTTAGCAAGCCCGAGTTATTAGACCATGACTGCACTGCTAATGAGGCAAGGAGTAGGAACGGTGTTCATAGGATTGAACTTGTAACCATGAGGATGCACTGCTGTAGCTTAATCTCACCATTATTATTTTTTTCCTAGTTTCTTTATCTGTTTGTTTTTCATTTTACTTCATTGTACCCTAACTCTGCCAGCAGATCTTTTTGGGCTAGATAGAACATAAATATCTCAAAGGAGTTAAAAATTTAGCCATGAGGAATATTAAATTAACCCAAACACACAGGTGACCCAAATCCCTCAATTAATTGAAAACCCTATTCATTTCACCCCCGTTGTTAAAAATACATTTTTGAGTGGATTAACATTAACCCCTTGATAATCTCTGGGGATATCCCCAAGACCTGAACACTTGACAATGGCCAAATTCTGGAATTCTACTACAAAAAATAACAAACACATATTATGATTTAGATGAGGAGCATTCAATTAATCTCACTCAATAACTAAGGGTTTATTTGCTTTGCCTCCATTTGCCAGCCTTGCAGAATCTGCAATTATATTCTGCCACAACAAAATTATGCAATCTGTTGTGAATTTTTAAGTAATTTTTGAACAGTTAAAACTAGGAATCCAAGAGTTATTTCTTTTCTTTTCCACCTTGGTGACTGACCTCTCAAGAGAACATTATTCTGAACTAGAATTTATTTCTGATGGCTGTCTCTCTCTCACACCCTTCATCCCATCTGTCAGGAAAATACACTGTTTCAACCTGCAAAACACATCCTTAAACACTTCTCCACACTGCTCCTACCGCCACGTGGACTACTCATGTTCTGGTTACCCTCACCTCCAGCCTGTCATCCTGCAGTGGCTTCCGGGCTGGTCTTCCTGTTCCTGCCCTTGCCCTTATTCACTATATTCAGCACAACAGCCAGGGTGACCCACTTAAAATGTAAACAAATTTATGTAAATACAAATGTTTCTCTTCTGCTCAAAATCTCACAGCACCTCCCCATTTCCCTAAAAGTAAAAGGCAATGTGTTTTTAAACAATGCATAATAAGGGTTGCATGATCCTACTCCCATCTGACCTCCTCTCTTAAAACTCTGCTCCACACCAGCCTCCTTGCTGTCCTTTGAACATACCGGATGTGTTCTTAGAGTCTTCTTAGGACATTTGCTCTAGCTGCTTCTGGAAAATGCTCCTCTTCTGGACAAACTCTTTACTCTTTTAAGTTTTTGCTCAAATATCACCTATTCAGGAAAGTTTTTCCTCACCACATATGAATAATGCAAGTTCCATCTCCCCTAAGTCTGTGGCTCTACAGATTCCCCTTATTCAGCCCTACTTCTCCTTTTTTCTTAAATACTTAATTTTAAGTATTTTTTTCTTTTAAAAATTTTTATTATATTTTATTATATATAATAATTATTTTATTTTTTTCTTAAATACTTAATTTTGAGTATTTTAAATACTTAAAATACTTAAATACTTAAACAAAATTAACAGTCAGTGTAATCTACTCATTTGTTTTAAAATCTCTGATTTCCTCCTCCCTCACTAAACTTTAAGCTTCATGAGGGCAGGAATCCTTGTTTTGTCCATGGATGTATCCCAACCACCAAGATGAGTGGCTGCTTTCAATAAAAACTTGTTGAATGAATAAATGAAGGCCATATGATATATAAGAAAGATGAGTTTGCATATTGGAGATTTCATAATTTGTTAAATGAGTTAATTTTCATATCATTTGGCTGTTTCTACTAAAAGAAGAATACAAACTCAACTTTAAAATTAGAAACCCCCCTATGATCCAATACTTACACTAATAGGTTTTTACCCAAAGGATACAAAAATACAAATTTAAAGGGGGTAAATGCATTATTATCAACAATAGCCAAACTTTAAAGAGAGCCCAAATGTCCATTGACTAATGAATGGATAAAGAAGGTGTGGTCTATATACACAATGGAGTATTTCTCAACCATCAAAAATAATGAAATCTTGCCATTTGCAACAACGTTGATAGAGCTAGAGTGTATTATGCTGAGTGAAATAAGTCTGAGAAAGGCAATTACCATATGATCTCACTCATATGTGGAATTTAAGAAAGAAAAAGGATGAACATATGGGAAGGGCTGGGGATCAGGAAAAGAGGGAAATAAACCATAAAATACTCTTTTAAAGATAGAGAATAAACTGAAGGTGATGGAGGTAGGTCAATGGGGGATGGGATAGATGGGTGATGTGTATTAAGGAGGGCACTTTTTTGGATTAGCACTGGGTATTGTATATAAGTGATGAATTACTGAATTCTACTCTAGAAACCAGTATTATGCTGTATGTTAACTAAGTAAAATAAATAAATAAATAAGATAAATAAAAATTAGAAACACCCCAAAATTCCTGAACTGAGGTCTGATTAAATAAATCATGTCCAAGAAAGACAAGGCAAGATAATTCTCAAATAGAAGGATAAATTTGTGGCCTTCGTAGGTACTTCAAAAACGTATGATAAAATAATGTTGAATGAAAAAATAATAAAATGTTCTATGTAGGGAAATGTGATTTTTGTTGGCTTCCATTTAGGCAGACATTCCTGTTTCATTCTCAGTCCATGTGGTTGAAATGAGACTGAGTTTGTTCCAGAGATGAACATGTAATCCAGGATTGGCCGGTCGGAATTCGCTGACTTCCTGGCCATGGTGATTGCTTCAAGGATGGACTCAAATACAAATCTGACAGTGAGTCATCTAGTTTTGTTATAACTATTGGGAAATAAGGGTTTTCTGTGTATGTGACTCCTAGCTCTGAGGACACTGCAAATGCAGAGCTTCTATTGACATCTTAGAAAAGGAAGCCAACACAGAGGATGACAAAGCTAAGAGATGTAGAAAAAAGAGATCAATATCAGATGACATTGTCTATCAGATTTACCTGATTTGAGTTAGAATCTTTTCCCCTTCCTGCTGAAAGGATTCTGACTACTACAATCATACTGATTATAATTCTGTAGAATTTGTATGTAAAAAAAATCAAGTGTATCTTACATCTTAATTATTTCTCTTACACTAAGTAAGAAGAGAGAGTAGAGAGAATTCATGGGATTTGATAATGATTTTTTTTTATGGAGAAAATATTTCTTTTTCCCTCTGAAATTGGATTAAACTGTTAATAAAAAGTAAGTTCTGTAGTTAATTGAAGCTTTCTTCTGTTTAAGCTTTAGGTTTAGGGAAATGAGGCTTTTGCAGTCAGCTATTTAATTGCTTGAGAAATGTATAAATGGTACTTACTCTATAATTTTGTGTTTGGATTGCACAGAGAAATCACAGTAATCCACTCCAATGTCTGTAAAGTCCACAAAAGTGGAGGACAAAATCTGGAATGCTCGAGGATTTTTTTCCCTGAGTTTTCGGCAAACGTTAAACCCATCTACGATTTCTGAATCACCCCCAGTGACTGTTTGCTTTATGCAGTGCAGAAACTGAACCTGTAAAAAGAATAGAGAAATGTGTTTTAAAATGGTAAACATTTACATTTTTTGACATTGTTAAAGATTCAGAAAGTTATGAATGCACTAAAGTCAACAAACCTCTTAAATCTCTTTTGTGTCAGCAGGGAAAGGGATTGGAGAGAGAAAGTTGCTTTAGACACTATTTCAGTGTGAGACATGAACACAGGCATGATAATGTCCATTAGTAAACAAAGGCACAGATCAAAATAGCTGTAGGGAGCGAACACTTCATGTTGGAGTATTTACTCACTTCATGTTGACTTTACAGTGGAGGTGGGATTTAAACTGGGCAAAGGAGGATGGGTAAGATTTTGGATATGCAGAGCAGAATGGAGAGAGCAAATCAGGTGCAGTCATAATGGATGTGCAAAAATGCACACCTCACTATGTATCAAAAAGTTTGGTCACAATAGAGGTTCATGAATGAAAAGGATAGATCCAGTTGAAAAGGTTATTGAAGCACTTATTATAGAGTCTTGAATGTCAGATGAAGAATATTGGATTTTCTCTTCTGCACAGAGGAGAATTGTTGAAGGGTTTCACATTACAGTTGTAATGTAGCCAAGACTGAGTTGAAGAATATTAGTCCAGTGGTGTTACATAGGACATATTTTTTTAAAGGAGGTGAGACAGTAACTACTCGAGAGTTAAATGAGATAGTTGAGGTATAAGGATAAGAAGGGAATGGAGGTTGGGTGGGGCTATGAGGATGGATAAACCTAAGAAGCTCTGGAAATAAGAAACCAAAAGGATGGTTATTTTTACTAAGATTTAGGGGGAAATGTTCAACATTATTTCATTTTGAAAAGCAAAAAAATGTAAAATCTGTTTATTTCTTTCTTTACTATTTTTTAAAAGCTTTTATTTCTTTATTTGTCAGCGAAAGACAGTGTATGTGTGCGACATAGCACAAGTGTGGGGGAGCAGCAGGCAGATGGAAAAAGAGGCTCCTCACTGAGCAAGGAGCCCAGTGTAAGACTTGATCCCAGGACTCTGGGATCATGACCCAAACCGAAGGCAGACACTTAACCAACTGAGGCATCCAGGTGTCCCCCAAATAGTAAAATTTAGAAATATATTTTTTGGATGGGGTTTCTGTGACTCCTTTAGTTAGCATGAGTGAGTGATTTTGAATAAGTTTGAATTTGTTGAATAAGCTTGAATAAGTTTAGACCCAGATTTTCTACTTAGAGAAATGAACACTATCTAGCTGTGAAAACTTTATTCTCAGTTAAACAAAAATAAGAGAAAAACGTCACCAAACATCCAGATTAGGGGGAATATGAGTGGAAAATATATCCACTTGGTTATTTCCATAAATCGTCTAGAACCGTGCTGTCCATTCGAACTTTCTGCGGTGACAGAAATGTCCTCCTCTACTGCCCAGTACAGTAGACACTAGTTCCACATGGCTATTGTAGCTTGAAATGTGGTCAATGTGACCAAAGAACTGCATTTTAAATTTTATTTAAATATAATTAATTTAATTTAAAATTTAAATGATCGTATATGGCTAGTGACTATATATTGGGTAATGCAGATCTACAACACAAATCCTGCCTTCTTCCTCAAACTGTTCACATTTTCTCAATATTTTAAATCTCACACATACTTGTTCTCAAGTTATGATTGTACACTTATCACTTCCTTACAACAGTCCTTAGAAGGTCAGACTTTCCTCTCCATTTTATGGTGGAAGAACCTAGACCCGGAAGTGAAAAAGTTGGCCCCTAGTAAGAACACGGCTACACATGGTGAAGCTGTCATTCAAACCTTTGTCTGTTTGCCTCAAAATCATCATACAGCAAGTTCTTTTCCTTTTAAAGGGGGGAAATTCTTTTATGGGACTCTAATAGTTTAGTATCATGAGTTGTGTATATATATGTGCTTTGTAAACTCCAATTCCTGTTTCAGGTTGATTATGCCTTATTTTCTGATGTTAGGAGAGAATTGGTCTACATTATTAATGGTTCCAACCTTAAACTGGTGCCAATTTTTTAAGCTCAAAAAAAAATGTGCACAAGCTGACCGAGTTGCTGTAGAAAACCATCTCATCACCAGGGCTGTGAAAGGTGAAGCAGCGTGATTAACAAGAGGATGAAATGGAAACATCAACCTCCAGTCTGCCAAACTCCAAGAAGGCAAAACAATGGCCCAACTCTGTCTTTGAGAGAACCAGTGTTCTTTAAATCCTCTTAGATTTTGCCATAATGAAGTCACAGAATATTTCAAATAAGAATCTTTAAAAAATGTCAGTTGATGTCTTTTATGTATATGGCAAGGCCAAGTAATAATCTTCTTTTATCTATTTATATTTTAATGCAATCTTATGAAAGAAAAAAAGATGATGGTGGCAAACAACACTTCTATCACCTAATTCAAATAGTACATATGCACCTGATGTGTATAAAATCAAATTCTATTTCATGTCATTCATTAAGAACCAAAACTATTTCCTTTCTAGATGTTACTTCATCTACCCATCCCAAGCAGCATGAGACTTGGCCCAAAGACAGTGAGCAAAGGAACATCTGTGCTTCTTTAAAGATGTATCACCTCATCCCTGCCCCACATGATCCAAATTGATGAAATTCAACTCTCAACAGGTAACTCATTATTTAGATCATTTCATCTGCATTGAAAAGAAAAGTGAATTATTCTGTTTGTTATAAAAAAGCTCAAGGTTTGTTACAAAGACCCCTGAACTATTCCAAATGGAAACTTGACCAATAGCAGAAACAGCTACCTACATTCTAATTATTCTCTTACAACAATCTAGACATTTTAGGAATCATCTGTCACTTAAAAAGCTTCTGTCAGGTCATTTATCTTTGAATGTGTCTTTTGCTGATGGAGACAGGCACAACTTTGTGGTATTTCTTTGCCTTTTTTATATCATATCTGTGATGTCCCTATTACATGAAATGTGCTGAGCTAAGCCTTAGTTTGTAATGTCTGATGATGTCTATGCTCATCGCATTATATAAATCATGGTAATTAGAAAGTCTAACTCAAGGCCAGCACAGTATGGTGAAAAACCTAACTAGACAGAGGCCTGGGCTCCGTTTTAAGTGTCCTATTATTCGGGTGTCACTCAGAGGAAAGCATTTAACGTTGCTGTGTGTGATTTTGTCATCTAACAGAAAAAGGCATGATCAATCACCTGCCTTACAGGAATGTTAAGAGGGATCAGACAAAGTAATATATATAGCATACTTTGAAAAAGTATAAAATGCTATGAAAATGTCAAGCATTATATTATACTTCAAGAATATTTAAAAAGCCATGTAATCACTTTTCCTTAGGCTTTCAATTTTAACCCAGAAACAAAACCTAACCTCACTTAAAACAGCAGATAATTAAAATATTAAATTAGAATTTTTAGTTTTCTAGTCTAATTTTTTCAAAAGGTTTTATTTATTTTTTTGAGAGAGAGAGAGAGAGAGAGCAGAAGTAGGGGGAGTGGCAGAGGGAGAAGCAGGCTTCCGGCTGACCAAGGAACCTAATGCAGAACTTGATCCCAGGACCCAAAGTTCATGACCCCAGCCAAAGGCAGACCCCACCCAGGCACCCCAGTGGTATTCTTTCAAGCCACTAAGTTATAAAGTGGTTTTTATGCAGTGATAGCTAACTGATATGAATGGTAGTCATGTGACTTTATGGGAAAACCCTACATTGTGTTCCCTGGTTTCATTTTCTCTTTTAACTCTTTTGGGAATGGCAAATATGCAAAAGGACCTGAAGATGTACTGCTATCATAAAATTTGTCTAAGCAAAGCAAAAAGTGCCAATAGTTATTTCCAAAAGGAAACAAAGAAAGGTTTTTTGTTTTTTGTTTTTTTTAAATACACAAAAATCTTCTATCCCTTGGAAATCTCAGGCTATTCAGGATTTAGGCACAGAGATTTCATGTTTGGATTATTCTTGAAGAAGGATCTATGTAGGACAAGTTAGCTAGTGAAACCTAGAGTCACTTAGACTCAAAATACAGGAGGATACTGGTCCTTGGCCTGTCTTGTGGAAAATATGTTGAGGCTCACCTTACCCCAGGTGGATGATGGAGGGCTGGATAATCAGTGTGAAAGCTTAGCTTCCCAGTTGTGTAAGCCACATTGTTTGCGTCAATTTTGTCTTGCACTTGCCAAGTATGTCTGTAAAATACAAGAAGCATATGTTTAAACGGTCTGTCAGTAATCCAGAGGAAATGTGTTTAGAATGAACTGGATACATGGGGGAAATGGAAACTTTTCATTTTATGAAAAAATTACCGTAATGATGTGAGCCAAGAAGAGAGCCTGGCTTTTCCTTGTCCAAAGTTACCATTTGAGAGTAGGTACCTCCTCCTTTCTTCTCTCTTCTCCAGAGAAAAGTACATTTACACATTCGTCTATCCCACAGAGCTTATAAAGAGGTATGTGTGGGATTGTAGGTTAGGTTTTTTTTAATAGCTTAGTGCATTTAAAATCATTTATTGAGGTGAAATTCACATAACACAAAATGAACCATTTAGTGGACAGTTCGGTGGCCCTTAGGACTTTCACAATGTTGGTAAGCATCACCTCTACCTATCTAGGTGCAAAATATTTCCATCACTCCACACGGAACCTCTTACCCATGAAGCATTTTCTTCCCATCCTGCCCTCCTCCCAGTCCCTGGCAAACACCAATATGCATTTTGTCTCTAAGGATTTACCTACTTGGGGTATTTAATATAAATGGAATCATACAAGGTGTAACCTCCTGTGTCTGGCTTATTCTACTTAACAGAATATTTCTGAGATTCCTCTGTGATGGACCATGTATCATTACTTCATTCCTTTTTATGGTCAAATAATATTCTATTGTATGGATATTCCATAATTCGTTTATTGACTCATCAACAGATGGACATTTGCACTATTTCTACTCCTTGGGAGATGTGATTAGTGTTGGCATAACCATGGGTATGCATGTACTTATTTGAGCACCTGTTTTCAATTCTTTTGGGTAATGCCTAGGAGTGCAATGATGGAATCATATCCTAATTCTACCTTTAACTTTTTGAGGAGGTACCAAACCATTTTCCATAGTAGTTGGACCACTTTACATTCCCACCAGGATTTTTGAGGCTTCCAATTTTTTCACATCCTCATCAACGTTTGTTATTTTCTGGTTTGTTGTTGTTGCTGCTGTTGTTGGTTTTAACCATCCTGGTGGGTGTGAGGTGGTATATCATAGTTTCTTTTTTTTTTTTTTTTTAAGATTTTATTTATTTATTTGAGAGAGAGCATGAGAGGAGAGAGGTCAGCAGGAGAAGCAGACTCCCTGCCAAGCAGGGAGCCCAATGTGGGTCTTGATCCTGGGACTCCAGGGTCACAACCCGAGCCGAAGACAGTCGCTTAATGAACTGAATCACCCAGGTACCCCAAAACTTGTTTTTTTAAGATTTTATTTATTTATTTGACAGACAGAGATCACAAGTAGGCAGAGAGGCAGGCAGAGAGAGAGGGGGAAGCAGGGTCCCTGCCAAGCAGAGAGCCTGATGCGGGGCTTGATCCCAGGACCCTGGGATCATGACCTGAGCTGAAGGCAGAGGCCCAACTCACTTAGCCACACAGGCACCCCCAAGGTATATCATAGTTTTGATGTGCATTTTCTCAGTGGTTAATGATGTTGAGTATCTTTTTATATGCTTGCTGGCCATCTGTATATTTACTTTGGACATATGTCAATTAAAGTCCTTTGCTCATTTTAAATTGAGTGGTTTGTCCCTTTTTAATTTCTATGAGCACTATAGATAGCCTGGCATGTGATCTGTAACTATTTTTACCCCTTCTGTAGGGTTGTCCTTTCAATTTCTTAGTAATGATATTTCATGGTCAAAAGTTTAAATTTTGATGAAGTTCTATTCATCTATTTTTGTGTTTGTTTGTGTTTTTGGTGTTAGACCTAAGGATCCATTGCCCAATCTAAGGTCATGAAAATTTACACCTATGTTTTCTCCAAAGAATCTTACAGTTTTATATATAGATCCTTGATCCATTTGAGCTAATTTTGAATAACATGTGAGGAAGGGGTCCAACTTTATTCTTTTTGCATGTGCATATAGAGTTGTCCCAGCACTGTTTGTTGAAGGGACTGTTCTTTCCTCATTGAAAGGTTTCAACACCCTTGTTAAATATCAGTTAGCCATAGATACATGGGCTTCCTTCTGAACTCTGAGTTCTATTCCATTAATCTGCATGTTTATCTTTATCCCAGTACCACAGTATTTTGATTACTATAGAATTGTAATAAGTTTTGAAATCAGGAAGTATGAGTCCTCCAACTTTGTTCTTGTTTGTTATTATTATTATTTTGGCTCTTAAGAACCCTTTGCAATTTCATATGAATTTGAGCATTGCTTTTCTATTTCTACAAGAAAACCACTGGAATTTTGGTAAGCATTGCATTGAATCTGTGGACTGCTTCAGGTAGTAATCACATCTTAACAATATTCTGTCTTCCAATCCATGAATGCAGGATATCCTTCCATTTATTAGGTCTTCTTTAATTTCCTTCACAATGTTTCATAGTTTTCATTTTATAAGTTTTTCATCTCCTTGGTTAAATTTATTCCCAGGTATTTTATTCTTCTGGATGCTATTATAAATGGAATTTTTAAAAAAATTTCCTTTTCAGATCATGCATTGCTAGTATGTATAAGCACAACTCATTTCTGTGTATTGCTCATATATCCTGCAAATTTGCTGAATTCATTTATTATCTATATTAGCTTTTTTGTGTGAATTCTGGGGGGTTTTCTATATATAGGATCATGTTATCTATGAATAGAGATACACTTACCTCTTCCTTTCTCATTTGGATGCCTTTATTTCTATATCTTGCCCAACTGTCCTGGCCAGAGCTTCTAATACAATGTTGAATTGCAGTGGTGAAAACAAGCACTCTTATTTTGTTCCTGATCTTAGAGGGAACTCAATGCATATTTATTTTATTTTATTTGAACTTAATGAATTTTCAATTATACTCTTATAACTATTACTCAGATCAGAAAATACAACTTTAAGGTTATATGTCTTGTCCCAGCCATAATCTCATCTCTCTCTTCTCCCAAGTAAGCATACCATGACTTCTGTATTTATAATTTCTTTGCATTTCTTTATATTTTTACCCTTGAATCTGCATCCTTAGACACTTTGTTTAATATTAGCAACAGTTGTTATGTATTTTAAGTGTCTTCATCTACAGGTTTCCCTTCCAGCCTGTTCTTCCTACAATTTATTGTTTGAAGAACTTAGGGAGTTTGACCTCCAGAGTTCCTCACAGTCTGGACTTTGTTGATTGCGTATCAATGTGTGGTTCAACATGTTTCTCTGTCTTCTGTGTTTCTAGAAAATTTGCAACTAAATGCAGAGGCTTGGACAAACTCTATTTTCTCTCTTTGGCAAAACTATAGATGGCATTGTGCTCTTCTATTAGAAGACACAGAATGTCAAGATGTCTTTGTTTTTGTGATAATTGTACATACTTATGCTCAGTGGCTAGATCCACTAATTCATTGGGAGTCCCAAATAGTAAAGTGCCAAATTAATAATTTCTTCTAATTTCTTTTTCATTTGTCAGTGCTTTTAAAAATATCTACTTTCCTTCATCTAGTATTTGGTTACCCCATGTAAGAGCTACATAGGGATACTGAGATAAGAACTTGATCCTTTCCCTTTATTTACCATTTTATTATGTAATGGATTAGTTTTCTACCATTCCAAGATGAATAATTCGTTTTCAAAAAATAATATTTTTGATGAAAATGCATTAAAACTAGATAGTGGTAATGGTTTCACAACATTGTCAATGTACTAAATAACACAAAAGTGTATGCTTTAAAATTGTTAATTTTATGTTATGTCAATTTTACCTCCAGTACCAAAAGAAATAGCTTGCCTTTATAGTTTAAAAAAATTAATAAATGAACTAGGGATTACTTGCAACTCTGTGTCAGGAAAATAAACCAGTATTCAGATTTTGTAAGACTTTTCCCTGAGAAGATTGAGAAAATGGGTAATTGGAAGAAAGTTGTGTTTTAAAATAAGGCAAATCTGGTTTGAAAAATATATCACTATAAATGCATGTCATTTTATTGCTGTCATAATGTCTATTTATTAATTTATATTCATATTCATCAAATCATTTTTCAATAAATTATATTGAGCCCCTATTCTATGTCAGGCATTGTTTTAGCACTAGAGATATAGCAGGGAACAAGAGAAACAAATGAACAAGTAATTACCAAATGTAATAACAGAAATAAGTGCTACAAAGAAAATAAAGCAAGGCAAGGAGATAAGGATTGGGGGCTAGTAGAATATCATGGCAGAGATAATGCTTTGAGAAGTGTTCCAGAAGACCTGGAAGAAAAGGAGAAATGTGAATTTCTGGGGGATGTATTTTAGGGAGAGGAATCTGAAGTGAGAGATAGGGTGTCTTCCCCATTCTCTGGGATTGAGGATGAAACTAGCTATTTGGCTCTGTTTTTTGGTCTTGTTTTGTATTGTATTTCATCTAAGTGTAAAATGGAGGGGCTGTAGAGTGTCTCAGTCGATTAAGCATCTGCCTTCAGCTAAGGTCATAATTGCGGGGTCCTGGGATAGAGCCCCACATCAGGCTCTCTGCTCAGTGGGGAGTCTGCTTCTCTCTCTGCCTCTGCCTGCTGCTCCCTCTACTTGTGCTCTCTCTCTGTGACAAAAATATAAAAAAAGATAGGGACACCTAGGTGGCTTGGTCATTAAGTGACTGCGTTTGGCTCACGTCCTGATCTCAGGGTCCTGGGATCAAGACCTGCATCAAGCTCCCTGCTCAGCGGGGAGCCTGCTTTTCCCTCTTTCTCTTCCTGCTGCTCCCCCTGCTTGTGCTCTCTCTCTCTTTCTCAAATAAATAGATAAATAAATCTAAAATAAATAAATAAATAAATTAATTAATTAATTAAAAATGGAAAGCCTGGTAAATCTTCCACCAAAGTTTAAGGAACCATCTCTATGTGGCTATAAGCCAGAGAGAGAACCTGTGAAAGAAAAAGAGTGTATGTAGCCTGCTCCAACTAATTTCAAATATGAATCCAACAATCCATTATACTATAGTGACTGTACCCAGGAATACATGTTCTCCATGAACC